TTGTACGAATTGCTATTATTTTAAGGTGGTAAAAGTTGTCTGGCAATTTTTTTTTTTGAAGTATTATGAACTTCTTAAGAATTAAGAAATGCATAATATTTTGAAACTAAATTTATGCATCTATCAGCATAGGTTCGGTAGGAACTACTTATGAATTGTTAAATATAGTTTATGCCTCTAAGGACATAAGTTCTCTAGGATTTAAAGCGAAATAATTTGTATGTCTAACAAAACATAACTTGTATTATTTAAAATACAAAAATATAAATTTTTACCTTGTGAATTTCACTTTTAACTGGTGAAATAAGTACGCACGCATAATTTTTTTTACCCGTTTGAGTAGTCTTGTAAAAATCCCTTCTCTTTTTCCTTTTAAGCATTAGGTATATGAATTTGATTTGACGATTAATCTAAATTCATATCGATAAATTGACTTTATATTCTTTTATCCTGTTGAATTAGACATATTGCCGATTTATTAACCTAATGTTATTTATGATGCTAAAAAGCTGAAAACATTGTGGCTAATCAAGTGCAAGTTTGAATTTGATATTAGCACCACTCACATAAGATTTTGTTGTCTTGAGCATCTTTGTTTTCATGGAGTTTGTATTTCATATGCTCAATTGCAAGGAGTTATCGATAGATGCCCGTTCATCAAGACTCTAAATCTAGTCTCTTGCCAGGGAATAATTAAGCAAATTGCATGTTTTTGGCATGAGAATATATAGAAGTTTAGCATGCCAACCATTGATCTTATTCAGGGTCTTACCCATTATTTTAGTAAAGATTGAGATTAATTTCGATGAGAGGAATATGCAAGAGATGGGGAGTCCAATCGGGTAATCATCAAAGTAACATATAGTGATCAGAAAATCATTGGAAGCAAAGTAACATGAATTCTCACACCATGAGAATAGATAAAAATCACATCTAACTCTCAAGTCGCAGGCAATAGATACTAAACAAAGGGTAATTATTGATGAACAAAACAGAGAAAAAGAAAACTGAAAACTACTACTAGATAAAACAGTGACCCTCAAGCACAGAAATATCTAGATATTCTAGAATAGAAGATAAAGTTACACGAACTTTTTTTTATAGAGAGAAAATGATCAAAAGCCCTCCCAACCTAGCTATGGTTGGATTTCCAACTACACACTCATACTTTACGGGTTCTATTATGTCCCTGAACTAGTTTAAAAGGAAATAAATTCCACCCTAAAATAACATAGTCCCTCAAGTATAAAAAAAAAGAAAAGATGAATTATTTGGGAATTGGAGTTAGTCCTGGAAATGTTCCAGTTTATCATGGAAATAATTTGAAAGTTATTGATAGGAGAGTGAGAGTAACTGAGCTTGTGTTAAGGTGTATCATTTTTGGTTTAGCAATTCTTGGTGCTATTCTTATTGGGACTGACAAACAAGCTAAAGTTATTTTCTCTATTGAGAAAATTGCTAAATTTACTGATATGAAAGCTCTTGTGTAAGTTATTTTCTCTTCTCTTGTTTAATTCATTTGGTTTGTATGTGGTATTCATTTTGGTTCTGACTAATTTAAATTCAAATTTGTGTTTACACGCGCGGTTAGTGCAAGTGGAATTTGGTGTGCTAAATAAATAGTTGGATACAGCCGTCACTTTTTATATATTCCCTCCGTCCCATTTTATGTGATGTAGTTTGACTCGGCACGGAGTGTAAGAAAGAAAGGAAGACTTTTAAAACTTGTGGTCCAAAATGAATGATAGAAATTTGTGTGGCTGTAAATCATTTCATTAAGGGTAAAATCGACATTTTATAGTTAAATTGTTACTAAATATAGAAATGTGTCATTTTATTTGAGACTGACTGAAAAGAAAAGTAAGTCATATAAACTGGGACAGAGGGAGTAGTTGTTTTCCGCGAGTGTGTTTCCCTACATTCCCTCTTATTGAAATTCAATCGCCGTAGAATCTGAATCACGTGTTTGAAGGGATCAGGATATCAAAATTTTATTAAACCTTGGGGAAAGAAAAGGAAAAAAGGAAAAAGAAAATTGTATTACTATTTTTTTTCTATAAAGAAAAGGAAAAGTTAAAAAAGTATTCCTAAACCAAACTTGACTTTGACCAAGTGAAACTCTATAAATATCATGCAACTTTTCAAACGTTACACATATTTTAGAATTTAGAGAGAATTCAAAACGAAGGAAGCAATATGGCAAAAAGAGTTTGTGTTGATGGAGAAGACAGAATATCAAAATTACCTGTGCATATTATTCATCAAATCTTATGCCGCACTGACCTCGACGTCGAAGAGGCGGCGAAAAGTTGTATGTTGTCCAAGAGATGGTACTATTGCTGGACTTCAAGACCTAATTTGATATTCTATCAATTTGATATGGCCCTTGAAAACTATGTCAAGTTGGTTGATCAATCTCTGCGATTCCATGTCGAACAAAACTTACATCTTGAACAATTCATCCTTAGATATCATGATCCAAAAGTGGATTCTCACGTGGATACTTGGATTGAATTGGCGGTTAAACTCAACGTCACAGAGCTGGGGATTCACCGTACCGGTTTAATATCATCATATAACTTACCTGATGTTATTTATGATGCTAAAAAGCTGACAACATTGCAGTTAAGCAGATGCAATTTTGAATTTGACAAAAGATTTTCTTGTCTTGAGTCTCTTTCTTTGAATCATGTCCATATTTCAGATGCCCAATTACAAAGAGTTATCGACAGATGCCCATCTATCAGGACTCTAAGGTTACAGTGTTGCGAGGGTATAAGCAAATGTCATATTTTTGGCTTAGTACATCTCAAGTATTTCGATGCTAGTTATTGCAAACTCCATAGTCTGATAGTCCAAGCTCCATCTCTTCAATGCTTTAGATATAGAGAACCTACTGAACAGGGAAATCTTCATCCTTGCCAAATTGCTATTTTGGATGGTTACAATACTTTACAAACACTCGAGCTCGCTGGTGCCAGCATCACAGACCAACAGCTTCGAGATTTATCCTATAAGTTCCCAAACATTTCAGAATTGAATCTAACAAGATGCTATAACCTGAAAAATATAGAGATTCAGAGTGAAAAACTCAAGAAATTCACCTTATTAAAGTTGAAGAGTCTGGAAAAACTCACGATTCAAGCTCCAAATTCATTGGAATTTGATTTTCATGGTAGTAAATGGCCCTTCTCATATATGGATACTTCTTCCCTAGAAAGAGTCCGACTCAATTCTTCTTGCCCGTCATAAACTTTGGATCAGTGGACAGCAGTTGGTACACGAGCCTTCATCACTTTGTTCAAAAGTTCAACTATTCTAAAGATTTCATATTAATAATATTTTGCCGCCAGGTAGTTTACATTCTTTTTATGCTTATGTCATTTATTTATGCATTACTTGTTGAATTTGGCTTAAAATATGGCATTGACTAAATTCTTGCAGACCAAAAGCATCCTTATTTATGAAAATCCAAGAGAAATTGTTATTCCACCAAGCCACAAAATCGAGATATTCATTACATCCATGCTGCGTGTTGAATCGATCATTGGAATGTTAATGGTCTACCGTCCCTATATCATGTCCATACTTCCATGTACAGATAGCAAAGCACTACAGGTGATTTCTTGCTTTACCTCAAAAACGTCTCTTGTGCTTGTATAAACTAAGACATTAATTTGAGAAGAAAATTTGTTGTTAAATGTTGATTGGTCGTCTCATAAGCATTATTGTATAATATATCTTATGTTTTTGCTTAAATGCAGGCGATGTCTACACTAAAAGGGTGTACACAAAAGCAAAAATGTGGTAAAGAATGTCCATTCAATACCAAGTGGCATCGTAACTTAAAAGAAGTCATCAGTTGTAGTGGGACATCTGAAGAGGGAATGGCTGCCTCCATGTGGTATCTCTGGTTGAAATCCACATCTGTAATTGACCAAGTGAATAATTTCGTGTTAAAATGGAAAGATGAAGCCTAGACCGAAGAGTTTGGGGGAATTCAGCAAACAGAGTTAATTAGTGTGTTGAGAAGAAGTATGATTTATTACATATCTGTAGTTTAGTTGCAGTTGTTAAATATCGTCACCCCAGCTTCAGCAATAATTGTTCTTTTCTGAATGAAATAGAACAGAATTTTAACTCTTGCTATTGGTAATGACAAACCATCAGCGTTTAATCTCTTGCAAATTTCAACCAGCGGGATGAAATAGTACAGAATTCCTATGTCTTCACAGTGGAGCGTAACACTGTGTTCTGAACTCTGTGTCGATCTAACTCATACTAAACGTATATTCATACATGCACACACAATCAATTTCCCCCATTTTGATGATGATGATAAACTATGCAAGTGTATATACATCACCTAACTGACATAGATTTTTCCCCTTTTGGCATCATTATATTAAAAACGTGCAAAAGAGCATAGAATCAATTTAGGAAGCGGAATGCCACAATGTTAACTCTGGCATCTAAAGCTACACTTATTAACCATCTCAAAATGAAAACCACACAATAAGCTTAAGAGGATGAGGAAGAAATTAATCAGAATATCAAGCCAAACTGGGCCCTTAGCAAATCCAGAAAAAGTTTGTATATTACAAAGGGCACAAATCACGAGGGGATAGGTAATTAATGAGAATGCGAGCATTGTGCTCAAGTTACTGTCTTTTAGCTTACCTATGAAACATAGAGGTGGTCCTTCTCTTAGCCTTAGAACTAGGTGTGTAATCTTTATTTTCTCTATATAATGGAAAGACTCTCACTTTGAGAGGTGTTAAGCAGAAAATTGATATGGTATTTGAGCATTCTCTTGGCTGTCTTGTTTCATAGAGTCATCTGTGGTTCCTTCTAAATTTTTTTTTGAAAATCTTGGTTTTTGGTTTTTGGTTTTTTGGTTGACTGTTCATCGACAACCAGTCCTACCACCTGGGAATTTTGTTCTTGGTCATTCTAGTTGCTTTCTTGAGTTTTTGTAGTTTTCATAGCTATTCAAAAGCATGAATTCACATCACTTTGAATCCTTCAGTGTTCGTTTTACTGGAAAAAATTATTCTTCTTGGGAGTTTCAGTTTCAATTGTTTGTCACCGGCAAAGAACTATGGGGCCATATAGATGGAAGCGATCCTACTCCTACTGATGCAACAAAGCTAGGTGAATGGAAGATTAAAGATGCTCGAGTGATGACATGGATTCTAGGGTCAATTGACCCTCTTATTGTTCTTAATCTCAGGCCATACAAGACAACTAAGGCCATGTGGGATTACTTACAAAAGGTTTACAACCAAGCTAATAGCGCAAGACGCTTTCAGTTAGAGTATGAAATTGCTAATTACTCTCAAGGAGGTCTTTCTGTTCAGGATTATTTTTCTGAATTTCAGAATTTATGGGCTGAATTTATAGATATTGTCTATTCCAAAATACCCACTGAATCTCTATAAGTGATTCAGGCAGTTCATGAGCAAAGCAAGCGAGACCAATTTTTAATGAAATTACGCTCCGACTTTGAGAGTGTTCGCTCTAACTTGATGAATCGTGACCTGTCTCCCTCTTTGGATGTTTGCTTTAGGGAATTACATCGTGAAGAGCAACATCTTGTCACACAAAATGCTTTTAAGAAAGAAAATGATGTCACTGTTGCATTTGCTGCTCAAGGTAAAGGAAAAGGCAGGGATATGAGTAGAACTCAATGCTACAGTTGCAAGGAATATGGTCATATTGCTAGCAATTGTAGCAAGAAGTTCTGTAATTATTGTAAACAACAAGGACACATTATCAAAGAGTGTCCCACGCGCCCTCAAAATCGTAGGATCAATGCCTTTCAAGCTAGGATAAATGGTTCCACTGATGATAACTCATCTTCAGGACAAGTTCTTACTCCTGAAATGGTACAACAAATGATCGTGTCAGCCTTTTCAGCATTGGGATTACAAGGTAATGATGTTACATCTAATTTTTGGATTGTTGATTCAGGCGCTTCCAATCATATGACCAACTCAACGAGCATCCTAAAAAATGTTCGTAAGTATCAAGGTCCATCACAAATACAGATTGCCAATGGTAGTAATTTACCCATTACCAAGGTTGGGGACATTACTCCAACTTTCAAGAATGTTTTTGTTTCACCAAAGCTCTCAACTAGTCTTATTTCAGTTGGACAATTGGTAGATAACAATTGTGATGTGAATTTTTCTCGTAATGGTTGTCTTGTGCAGGATCAGGTGTCGGGGACGATAATCGCGAAGGGGCCTAAAGTTGGACGATTGTTTCCTATACACTTTTCCATTCCTCCTGTTCTATCTTTTGCTTGTACTTCTACTGCTAGTAAAACTGAGGTTTGGCATAAGCATATAGGACATCCAAATTCTGTTGTGTTGTCTCACTTATCAAATTCTGGTTTATTGGGAAATAAAAATCAATTTTCAGTTGCTTCCATTGATTGTTCTACTTGTAAATTAGGCAAAAGTAAAACTCTTCCTTTTCCTAATTTTGGTAGTCGTGCTACAAAGTGTTTTGATGTCATTCATAGTGATGTTTGGGGCATTTCACCAATTATTTCTCATGCTCATTTCAAATACTTTGTGACATTCATAGATGATTATAGTCGGTTTACATGGGTGTATTTTCTTCGATCCAAATCTGAGGTATTTTCCATGTTCAAGACATTTTTGGCTTACATTGAGACTCAATTTTCTACATACATCAAATTATAAGATCTGATTCTGGTGGAGAATATATGTCTTATGAATTCAAAAAATTCTTGCTTGACAAAGGAATTGTCTCACAACACTCTTGCCCATATACACCACAACAAAATGGAGTTGCTGAACGAAAAAATCGTCATCTTTTAGATGTCACTTGTACTTTATTGATTGAGTCCTCTGTACCAGCTAAAAATTGCCCATCTTTCTCCTCTTCTTCCTACTTTTGAGGATTTATCATCTTCTTTTAAGAGGTTCAAACCTGGATTTGTGTATGAACGACGT